GAAATGTCAGGGCACTAACGCACAAGTGGAAGCAGAGCTCTTCGAAGTCTCATGAACTGCCCTGTTGATGTGCCTGTCACACTCAGCCCCAGATCCTCTCCTTTGATAAAGCCAAGTATTAGTTCTGGAAGGGGAGGCCCAAGGACAAAAGGGTTACGCCAAACAGAGAATCTGACCCCTAGTAGAAGTTTTTAGAGACTCCGTGGCACCCATTGACACTTAGCTGGAGATCAATGCAGAAATAAATGGGTAGAGTGTCTAGTCACCCTGGCCCGTGCTCAGAAGGTGAGAGAAAGGCTGAACTGGGCTCACTGCTGGTCAGAGAGCCAAGTAAACAAGGCCCTTGCCCACGATGAAGAGGCTCTGAAGAGCAGCAGGCCAGATGTGGAGCGCTGTCCCAACTGCCGGTCCAAGCACTAGTTTCTCCGTTAATCCTGGTCCCGGCCCATTTTGCCTGTCAGCCTCCGTCGCTGAGTCTTAGTGGTTCGCCCTGTGCTGGATTTCTGGATTTTCTTGCGTGGGCCTTGCCCACGTTGGGGTCTCTTTCCTTTCGTCTTTTTCCGGCTGTGCATGTGCAGCGTGGCAGTAAGAGAAGAGATCCTGTGCAGGGCCAGAAGAGAGAAGTGTTTGGGGACCAAAGTCTGCAGGAGCAAGGCAACACCGCAACAATAGCAGGAGAGCCCTGTGTGGCCCAGCAGGAGTGGACACCAGCCACAGCAAGCCCCAGGGGAACTCCACTGTGCTGGGCATCATCCTGACAGGGCAGGAAACCTGCAAGTCTACATGTGCAATAGCAACCAAAATAAATTTTCTGAGCAGTGGGCTGGCCAGCCACCACAGAGTTAAGTAATTCGCTGAATCCCCAAAGCGGCTATAAATCCTGGATTCTGAAAAATGTGGAGAATGCCAAAAGCTTTAGGGTATTTTGACCTTCAATCCTAGAGACAAACTCTGCACCTTGCAATACACCCTTGGCTGCAATATTTGGAGATGGACTAGGTAAACAGTTCATGACAAAGCCCGCCCTGCACCGCATCTTCCTCCTCCTCCTGCTGCTCTTGTCACCAGGGATCAATGAGATGGGAATGGAGCATCAGGGGCAGGCTTGTGCTCTACCAGTGCCCTCTGCTGGCTCCTGCCCACCGGCACCCAGGCAGCACAGCATCCCCTCCCTGCAACCACACCGCTGATCTGGGAATGCAAGAGCCTCCTGATCAGTTTGCAGAGTCTAGCAGCAAAGAGTTGAATGAATTCATACATACTTTTCAGACAGGAAGGGGTTTCTGGACTTCTTAGGCATTGTTCTTACAGGCTTGTTCACCACCTCTTCCCCTTTCTCTTCTTCTGATCCATCACTTTTTCCCTTATAAAGGAAGCAAAAGAGAAAAAAATTCCTATAGACACATTAAAACAGGTAGTCTTGCGATTCTGGTGTTTCTGCTGCCGTCTTGGTTTCATCCTGTTTTGTGAACCATCTAGTCATGGATGAAGTTTTTTTAATTCTCCACATCCCTTGCTGTCCAAATCTCAAGGTTTCTTATCGCAGCCCCTCAGAAAGGGACAACCAGTGAGAAGTCCTTCAGAATCCACCCTAAGATCCAAAACCTTCAGCATGATCTTAATGGCTATGCAACTGAAGTCTAAACTATGAATTGAAGGTTTCAGCTTTTTTCTTAAATTACTATCAAAACCTCTTTAAGTAAATTTTCAGATTAGAAGATGACCTTACAAATGTAAAAGGTTAAAACAGACACTTCCCCAAAGAGCTCAAATCCAGCCGTGAGTCATGAAGGTCAAAAGGGTCAAGTCAACCAGTGCCTGAAAGCCTCTGTGAAACAAATTGAGATCTCAGTTACAATATGTTTTGAGAATAAAAGCAACCACAACTGAATGGTTTCCTTATTTGTGGTCCAAGCACAGGATCACGGAGAGAGAAATCTCTTCTCATGTTAATAGTTATTTTTCCTGGACAGGACACAGGAAAGAGGTTGAGGACAGTCCATGCAGCAAAGTCTGAAATCTTACTGCTTGTGTTCTATCTGCTTTTAAAATACTACATTCTCCCCATCCAGCCCTGTGGCACCTTTCACTTACACAAGGTCAGCTGGGACTAGCAAAGGATTCTGGGGAGGTTTAGAGTGAGCTGTTCACATAGGACATTTCTTCCTCTTTAGAGGCCCAACATAAGTTGTGGAGGAATGTGAAAGTTATGAGTTTCCCTTTTCATCCCTGCTCCCAGACAGCTGCATATGTCTTTGGGCATATTCAGGGAGTACCAGCCCTACCTAGCCAGCCCCAAGAATGCTTACAGCTGATACAATCAGAGAAGCAACAAGAGGCTTTACCACAGGGGTGGTCAGTCCCAGCTGGCGTGCCCCTGAGAGGTCCAGGTCACTGATGGTAGTCACTGTTACAATGTGGTTTGGGTGGTCGATGTTCACAGACTCTGTCCGCGAAGTCACTAAGTGCTCCAGTTCATCAGCCTCATCTGGGGAGACAAGAAATCCCACACTGCAAAGTGCCCAACTTTTCACAAGGTATGGTCGCTCGTTCCTGCACTGCCACACTGGGGGTGGGAGACCCAGCCTTTGCATGCAGGGTTAGAGGGCGGAGGGGCTTGAACACTGGCACTACAAGCATGAAGGGAAAGCTCCTTCTCCCAGCAGAGGGGATCTGGTTAGCACCTCGGAGATGTCCTCCTGCATGTTCCTTTCTGTACAACCTACCCGACCCCCTTCCTGCCAGGGAGAGAGGGCTGAGGGGGTCACCACTCAGACAGCTGCCCAGCTTCCCAGGGGGACGCGCGAGGAGCCGACCCCACGGGGTGATGTGCGAGCATCCCCGCTCCAGCTCTGATCGCCCAGCCAAGGGCATTGGGCCAAGGGTGTCGGACCACGGGCGCCCACCTCCCGCTCCCCACGCTGCCGCCCCGCTACCGGGGGTCCAGCGCTAGCACGTACCGAGCGCCTCCTCCCTCTCGCTCAGCATCTTCAGGTACTCCTGGTGCCGCTGAGGGACGGAAACAGGTCACTGCGGCGCCTCTTCCGCTCCAGCCGCCCGCCCTCCGCCCGGGACGGCCCCGTTCCCCTGCAAGCAGGGTAGGGGAAGCCCGGAGTCCCCTCCTGCCCCGCTCCCAGCCCGCCACGGCGGGAAGGAAGACCCACTCCTCAGCGCGGGCCGCGGAGGGCCGAGGGGTGTGTGTGGGGGTACCTCCTCCTTCATCTTCCTCTGCTCCTCCTTCAGCTTCCGTTTGATCTCCTCCAGCGCTACCTTCCTCCGCTCCACCTTCCGCTTGTGGAAGCCGGTCAGGTACT